TCTACTGTACCATTGAATAGCAGGATGAATCGTCACATGGGGATAGCCTACTCCAGCTGATCCCGCCATGTTCTACTGCAGATAATAACAGATATAGACCTCCTGAAAAGGGATTGGGCGGAAAGAAGGACCAAAGTATTCTTCTATATCTGGTTTTATGATCTGTGTCACCATAGAGCCCCCCTGCAAATGCCTGCAAGAGAATTAAAAATGTGTTATAAGATCCATTTATAAGTTTTGGAAGTTTAGATCTGAGAATTGACTTGCCTGAGTCCCACAACCAATTACAAATATGGCAAAGCTAGCAGAGGTAGTTGAAGCGGACTTGCGGATGAAGTTTGATATTAAGAAAGCAAAACCAACCTAGCACATCAAGATGCAAAAGGCTTTCAGTCCTGATATACTGCAATGGTGGCTAAACTAGTCATATATGGTATCTCTGTAATCAGAAGGAACTCACCATGTTCAATTGGAAAAGAAAGAACAGAAGTAGAACAATCAAAAAGCTGTTTTTCAAGAAAAGGTGAAGCTGAAACATCATTCCAAAAAGAACTATGAGGAGTGATGAAAGGAATGTCATAATTCCCTCCCATAGAAGCCACGAACACCAATAAGCAGAATCAAAAAGTCCCATCACAGTCATTGCCTGTGTATCAAATTGGAAATCAGGAAAAGGTTGAATATAAAAATCCAAGACTCTCACAAATACGGGTTATTACCTGGCGAAGTTTGAGCTCCTTCTCGAGAACCATTGTGCTAATCTGGAATACGAAACCGAACATAGATACTGCATAGAAGAATATTGGACTGAAAATAGTTCCAAATGAAGAATCTTGAAATGAGTCTCCAGCTTCAGGATCTTGTAATGCAGGACGCGCAAATTCCTTGAGACCAACATTCCAGCTGAACTTTGAATCTGTGAAGGCAGGATGCGATGTTTTATTTTGATAAAATTGTATCTGGAATTTATTAATGATCATTATAAAGGAAAACTGCTATCTTATACTACCTCCAAGCAATGACCTCGCAATTTCTCTTGATGCAGCTAGTTGAAGGGGAAGTTGGAATTTGAATGTTGGATCTTCAGATGCCCTTGGAACTTGAATATATGTAGAAGTATTTGTTACTACACCATAACTTATAACTGTGGCATTTCGTTCCACAAAATGCAAAACTCCAGGGGTACGCATTGGATCACTGAGAAGCCAATTGTTCAAATCATCTTTTGTGCCAAATGACTTGACCTGAAAAATAAAAACATTAGTGGCAGCCACATACCCAATGAACAATTTGAAGATCAAAGAGCTACCAACTTGTATCTCATTCTTAAATTGATAAAGCAAAAGAACAATGATTTGGCTTTATTCATTCCAAGACCATGAATCCCCTTAATCAAATTCTACGCTGTCCATGCTTGTATTTAAATTGAAAATAGATTGTCTTGACAAACTGCAACGCCTGCCATAATATCTTTTATGATTGAAAACAAAATGAATTTTACTGAGCTGGAAATAACACTTACATTGTGCTCCATTACTTAAGGAAGAAGGATTATAAAATAGGGTCGACACAGAGACTTTATCAGTTAAAATAGTGTAATGAGAAAACATTTGTTCAATTTCCTAGTTGTAATGAGTTTTCTTATTTTTAATTGATATTGGCTTGGTCTTTAGTCCACCTTAATGAGATCGAAGACAGAATTATAGGTAGACAGTAAGTAAAAAGAAAGAAAACAACACAATGGTAGAGTTTCTCCTTCGGTGACCTCTCTAGATCATGAGCGTGATAATAGCCTCTTTGCAGAAATGCAATGTGAAGGTTGACTACACATATGACCACTCTCCCCGACCCTCCACCCACTCACATACACTAGCTGGAACACTTTGATAAGAAATGGGATCTTGGCCTAACTCAACCCCAAAAGTTAGCTCATGTGGTAAGACTTGTCCAAAAATCCCTATCCCACAATTGTGGTGGGACAAACTTAACACCCTGCCCCTCCCGGCATACCCAAACCTGCCACCAGGAGTGTGGACAATAACATATGGGGACCAACATCCGGTCAACCAAGAATTGGGATGGGTCTGACTCTAATGCTACCATAAGAAATGGACCTTGAGCCTAACTCAGTCCCAAAAAACTAGCTCGTGAGGTGAGAATTATCCAAGACCATATACAGAGACTAAATTCCCATCTCACAATGAAGTGATTTAAACTCAACACACTTCATGTATGGTGTAAATTGTTTTTCTTTTATATCAATTTTGACTGTAAATTAAACACTTGATCATTTTATCCATTCATATCTAAGCCACAAATCTATAAAAGGGGTTTACAGGAAGAGAAAAATCGTGATGGCAAAAGCCAGAGGATAATTTTAAACTCGAGATGTTAGAAGGTGCAAAATCAACGGGCTGCTGTAAACGGAAAACATCGAATTAAAAATTATACCTTGGTAGAAGGAATAGGTCGACCTGGATTATTAGCCAAAATTCCAGAAACAATGGATTGAATTCTTTGGTTACCACTTCCACTCCACACAAAGTCATAACACGGATGTTTAATAAAGAACTTGTGTTCACACGGCGGTATCGGAGGATTCGTAAGAGGCTGAGGATCATTGACTGCACGGATGGTGGAAGGATGTTTAGAACGAAAATCCATACCTTTTTGGATTCCAAATAAAAGGCCTAAGAAGAACAACGAAGAGAACAACTGAAGAAATGTGGCTCTTTTGCTTCTCATTGACAACAAGAAATTCTTCTTCAGTAAAGCAATTGTTTGTTGCCAAAACAGAGAAAATCCTCTTTGCTGCAACTCCATTGCCATAAATCACTCTGTTTTTTCAAGTTATTTTTCAAGGAATTAAGAGTTTTTTTAGGGTTAAAAAATGGAGCAAGTTGATGAAGCTAATAAGGAAGGCAAATGGCGATTGTTTTGTTCATATTGTTTTAACGGGGAAGCCAAAGTCCTTTCTTGCATAACCGTTTAAATACTTCCGCCATTTTCACATTAGGAAAGACTATTCTGCCCTTTGAGCCATAATAGTTTGCCCCTCTCCAATACTAGTAAAATACATTTCTATCCATTTTTGTTATTTTCATATTTGATTTTGGCACATCACTAATAAGCAATTAATATAATAATAAATTTTCTATATATGTCACCTTTTAATCCATTTTTATTTCTTCATATTTGATTTGGCATATCATTAATATAATGATAAAGTTTCTATATGTGTTACCTTTAAGTATAATAAGTTTAATATTTTGAAAAATAATTATAATAATTAATAATAATAGTAAATTAGGAATTAAGTAATAAATTATCTATTAACTTTTTGAATTAAACAAGTAAAAGTGAATATATATTTTTAGTATAGTGAATAAATAAAATGAACTAATGAAGTAACTGATAAATTTCGTTTCACCCTTAATAAAATAATTTATAGTATCACAAATATTTAAATTTTATTTTACATGATAAATCTAAAAAAAATCAAAAATTTATGTCAAATCAAATGACATAAATTGAAATGGAGTAAGTACTTCATTTTTTCAAAATTTCTGATATAATGTTTGATATTTACATTGAAACTTAATTAATTAGGATATGCACAACGCTATGCTAAAATACAAAAAATATGTATTTTCAAGAATGAAGATACTTGAAAGGTTATAGTGAATTAATATTTAGCATAAGCCTTCAACTATCTTCATTTTGATAAAAAAAAATCTTGATAAAATATATTTAGTTGCGGAGAGTTTTTTTTTATGAAGATGTGTCAAATATAAAAAAGTAAATTCACAAAAGAAGTAAATTTTTTTTTTAATATATTAATATATTTTTTTAAACAAAAGGATAAAATTTAGCTAAAACAAGATACTTAATCGGGTAAAAAGCAAATTGTAATTGATGGTGAACATTTGTTATTTTTCACGAAATAGAGTGTTTTACTTGTGATACCCAATGTTGCAAAAATTAAATTTCCATTAGGGATTAAGTCTTTAAGGATTTTAAGAAACATTAATTGCATCATTGAATTATACATACATATTTAGTAGAACAAAAAGAGAAAATGTACATAAATGTCACTATCAATAGTTATAAGGGTTATAGGAATTTTATTATTGAACAAATAAAAAAGAACAAAGAAAGAAAGAATTGCTCTCTTTATGTGAAACTTGCACGAGGAAGAATTGTTCTTTAAATGGGAATTTGAAAGGCCAATATCAGAATATTGTTCTTCCTTAATTGATTACCTCTCCTTTTCCAACAACAAAGCTCGTAAATTGGAATTGACCAAATAGCAGAATGAAGTTCAAATTAGAATGTTAGGTGATCTTTTTTCAAATATCAAAATTACCATGAGATGTGTTGGTAGATCATGATGATATTAATATTATTATTATTAATAATAATAACACTATGGTTCATGACAAAAAACAAAAAATTGAAATCAATATCAATATCGACTAATTAAACACCAAAATTATACAACTCAAAGTTGGTAAATTGCTGCTATATCGCTGATGAATGCTGATAATTTTTCTTATTTTAAGAAAGCTTAAATTTTCATTTTAACTATGGAATTTGACTGTCCTATATATTCATTGGGCACTCTAAGGTAGGAAAATATGAGACAAGAATTAAGACGGTGGCATTTTAGACTTTCAAATAAATTTAAAATTTGAAAATTTAAATTTTTGCTTTGCATTTGGACATATACTCCTTTATTTGGAAAAAAAATTTAAAATTTTATGAATGAAAATCTCCAAAAATTAAATTTCTTGGTCAAACATAAAAAGTTAAATCTTATCCAAAATTTGTGATGATGCCAGGGGCATTTTAGACTTTCAGACAAGGGTATTTTTGGTATTAAGAAAATCTGTAAAAGAACCTTACAAATGGCTTCAGCTCATAGTCATCGGTAAAGTCGAAACTCCAAAAATGTACTTATAGTTGCAGCTATGCACAGTTGTTCTTCTTGTTTTTAAGTATACCGATAATTTTTTCTCCTTTCCATCCTCTTGAAAAACAAAAACGTAAACGTTGCTTCATCAATGGCTCATTTTTGGAACCAAACAAATGCTCTGTTCCGCAAGAATCTCATATATCACGTTAGTTCAACAATTCTGAATGATCATCAATTGAATTCTGTATCTGTTTCCAATTTTAATTTTTTTTTGTGGTTAATTTCATGGGTTTGATTTTGAATTTTTGAGTTTTGCAGAGGCGGCATGCGAGGTCACACTTGAAGGTGATTTTGTTTCCAGCAATTCTGTTTATACTTCTAGGGTCTTTTCAAAGCTACTCCAACAAGACAGACAGACTGAAAAAAGACCCCATAATTCAACTTGAATGGCCTCCTTTATTGCAAATTCCTTCTCCTCAATTTCGGGCGGTGATGACTGATTCAATGCCGTTTTCTGGACTGCCTGATGCATCTTGCAGAGGAACTGGTTCATGCCCAGTAACTGTACTTATCACAGGGAACAACAGAACCATTGGAGAAAGTATAAGTTTTTTTTTTTTGTGTTTTTTATACATGGCATTGCTACTTTTAGTACATTAAGCTAGAGTTTTATGGTAGATTTTGAAAAATTATCTTCATTTATATGAGTTTGGCCATGAAATTTGATCGAGTTTTGAACATCCGATTATCTCCAAATATTTTATCAGACCTGTTTTTGGGACTTTGACTCGCAAAACTTCAATTTTCAAGTTTTAACTTTAAAATTTATGGCCAAACGGGAGCTAAAGGAAGATATTTAGGATTACCTAGTATTGGTGCTGGTGGGAGTTAGCAGGTGCCCCATGGAATTAGTGCAAGTCCAGGTGTGCGCAAGCTAGCCAGGACATCAGGGTTGTTTAAAAAAATAAAATAGGAAGATAGGACTGGGACTTATCTTTTTCTAAATTTAATTTGTGAATTTTGGTAGGTGTGGCTGGGAAGATGTTCATAGATTCTCCAGAACCAAATTCAACAAGTGATTACCGGACTATTGCTGATGGCGTTTTCGTGAGTTCTCTTTCCTTTTGATTCTGATTATTGCCTCATTTCTTTCTTGTTTTTTTGTTTCTTATCCTTGTATCTTGGTCTTGGTTGTTGGATCAGGTTGTAGCAATTTTGAAGTTTTATTCTGCTTATTATGTTTTCTTATTACCACTGTGCATTACGTGATTTTGGAAATATTCTAGGGGACAGACGCTGGCGATGATAGGCTGGATAGCAGCTTACTCTATCATGTTCGACCTCAATGTTCTGCTTCGCCCTTCAAAAACTCCACATCAGAAACTGGTAATGTCCTTTAATACTATCTATTGGTGCTAATGTCTTTAGAGCACAATGTCTACCAATTTCCCTGTTTTATTTTCATATTTTGCAATGCCATCAAAATTTGTGCATTTAAAAACAATTTAAATATGAAGCCAGTCAAGTCCAATCCTTTCTCATGCTTACTCCACAATACTTTTATTTGAGTTTTATATGCTCATTCTCTGTCTGCCAGGCCTTCTATTTACTTTTGTATAGTGTATTCTTTCTCCTTGTGACATTTTTTAAACACCAGAAGTATGTAAAATGCACTGATTTCACTTCTATGCCAATTTTAGATGTCATATGTGTGGAAGGTTTAAATTTGTGGCGCAACAGCTCTGCTGAGATTAACGATGAGCTATTCAAAGGATACAGAGAAGGAAATACACAGGGGATACTAAACGAAATTTTGGCAGGTTATTCTCTTAGATGTCTGGACCTTATAGTTTCATATCTTTACATTCCTCCTATTGATACTTTTCTCGTCTCCCACAGCTTATGATTTCTTGGATACAAGTGGAGAGAATTTCAATGTCAACATTCAATTCAATTCTACTTATGGGTCCAATCTTTTCAATCATGAACCTGAATTGTTGAGAATACCGCGTTCTGAGAACATGGTATATCCTTATATCCTTTTTTATGCAGCTAGTAGAAGCTTTACTAATAAAGAAAAAGGTTCTACATAGCTTAGATCTTCTTAATTTCTTTTCAATCCATTGTTAGATTGTACTTAGCAGGTGTAGCTTGCTGCTTACAAATGAACCTTTATCTTCATCTTCAGCATCAAAATTATGTTTCTCCTTACCACGCGCTTTGGTAAAAAGCCTTCCACTCACTATGGTGAGAGTGCATATATTTAAAGGGGAGTAGTATTTTGAATTTGAATCACAAGACAATTAGGGATCATGAGGAATTATGTTGATAAAAGAGAAAAAATGTGTACCCAAATGTTTGAAATTTATAAGTAATAATTGTTAGAATGACTGTGTAGCGAATAAATTAAAGATGAAGCACACATCTTGGTTTCTAAGTAAATATGTGCTGGCAAATACTAACATGATCTAAGTTCTAATGCTTGGTGCCAGAATTTAAAGGCCTTCTGCTTGATGCAATGTATTGCACCTTTTCTAGTTTAAAAATCTCGTAATATAAAATAAGTTAATCTTTGAATGCTGTTCACAGCATATAGGAAATATGATATTTTATGCTTTTCTATGTAGGTAACAAATGCTTATCTCCAATTTTTACGTGGTTCCTCTACAAAGATGGTTCTAGATTTTGTTGCTGAGATGCCAGTTCCTGGCGGCTACATGAGGCCAAGCGACCTATCTACCTTTCTCAATATTGTCTTCTATACATGGGTCATTCTACAAGTATTTCCGGTAAATATTTGTCTAGTTTGTGAATAGTTGCATGGTTGTGGCAAAGACGCTTTTCTAGAGGATTTTTTTTGTATTTATCATTTATTAGAAGTTTCTGGTGTCTTGATCATTTACTTTCTTTCCAGTTGAAGTTATTTTAGTGCTCCATTTATTTAGTTTATGAGTTTCAGTTGTTATAGAAAATTGAGTTTGTCCACTCGTAAGCTATTATTCTTTTCATTTGTGGCATTAGAGTTCTAATCCAGTATTTCAAATCCACTCTTTGTATTTAAGAAAAAGAATATTAGTTACTTCCTTTCTAATCGTTAAAGAGTTACGTGACTACAGAGCTGCTAAAATCTTTTTTGGGTCTCCATATATGACAAAAGTGATTTTAATGTAGGTTATATTATCATCTCTGGTTTATGAGAAGCAAAGGAAGTTAAGGATCATGATGAAGATGCATGGCCTTGGGGATGTTCCTTATTGGATGATTACTTATGCGTATTTTCTTGTCATTTCTTTAATCTACATGTCCTGTTACTTTGGATTTGGTGTATTGACAGGTACTGCAGTCTACAGTTTAGCTGCTTCTTTTACGTTTACACAAGCCGGTTCAATATTTTTTCTTGTTTTACAGGGTTAACAATTTTCAAGCTGAATTCATACAGTGTCCAGTGCATCTTTTACTTTGTCTTCACAAACTTGCAAATATCTATGGCCTTTCTATTAGCTGCAGTATTTTTCAAATCTGAAGACTGCCGCAGGTTGGTGTCTGTGTAGAACTCTGTAAAAGTCCTTCACAGTACATGAGTAATCAATTCAAAAGGAAACTGATTTTCATGAATAATAACTGTAACATTTGGATATTGCAGTTGTTGCCTATACAATTGTCTTTGGGACGGGTATCCTGGGTTTTCTCCTGTTCCAGTCCCTAGTTGATGATGCATCATTTCCTCGTAAGTAGGTTATCTCAATTACTTTATCTTACACTTTTTCTATTTGAAAAGGTAAGGATTTTACTATTAGAACAGTATGACAAGTGCTCAGAATACTGTACAGGTGAGCAAAAGCATAGTTTTTTCTACCAAAAGTGTGGCCCTCTAGCCTTTACAATCCTTAAAGGGATTCTATGAATTCTAACAGTGTTTCTACCTCGATTACACCAAGAATGAAACAATACAAGACAATCAAATTTGATTCTTTCTACTGATTTGTACTTCTCTTCGAAGCATCTAGAATTCATTTCTCTCTGAACGAGCCACCAGATATTCCACTTTCTTGAACTGTTATCTTTTATAAAACATGCTAAAGACTGCTTAATACCTCTTGGATTTGGTTCAAAGCGGGCCAGATAAAATTAGCATTGGAAACTTAAGTTTAATCCTCCAATTTAAACTAGGGAGATAAAAATTATTTTCCGTATCTTACTCACTGTTTCGGTCCATATGAACAATGTACTAGCTATTTGGAGATGGCAACTCTAGATGTAGGCTTTGACATTATTTTTGCCTTTTCTCCCGAGTAGCTTTAGAAGATCGAAATAGAAAAATACTGAGATCAGCTCAAGGTGAAGGAAACAGCGAATGTCCACGCGTTGAAGGCCTAAAATTAGCTCTACAAATTAGGCATGCGACCAGTTTGCTTCTCTTTGAGATCATTTGGCTCTTTGTACTATGACCAATGAAGCACGGCTATCCTTTCATATTTTTCAGGCTATCTTTAATAGATTATGTTTATAGGGGTAAAATGCCCATAAATTCAAAAAATATGTACTTAATGTTCCCTATTCACTTCCAAAGACACTTCTTACAAATACCTTCGAAAAGAATGGCGAAATTCTGATCCGTCATAGCCTGTCACCATCATTTATTTTGGACAACCAATGTGGTTTAATTCCGCAACTGGTTTGGTGATTTGGACAATTCTGGCTGTTTTTCTGTTCCAAATTGTGTTTCAGTAGAATTAGATATTCCTGGTGGATCACTTCAAGCAATTTTCTTTTCAGGCTAATTGTTTTTCATTGATTAATTATATTTGGTATGTTGATCACATGAGTTGAGCTTAAATGAGGAAACCTGGTTGAGGATTTGTGTAGCCGACCCTTTTTTAAGATTGAGGCGTAATTGTTTTTGTAGTCACACTATTTGGATTCTACATGTATCTCTCGTGTTCACCAAATTTAACATGTTTTTTTTTGGGAATAGGTGGTTGGGTAATTTTCATGGAATTATACCCTGGCTTCTCTCTGTATCGTGGGTTATATGAGCTGTCCCAGTATGCACGAGGGGGATATATGGTAGGGACTTCTGGGATGTTCTGGGAGTATCTTAGTAACAGCAATAATGGCATGAGAGAGGTTCTGATTATCATGTCAATTGAATGGGTGGTATTTCTGATTGTTTCCTATTACTTGGATCAAGTTATATCATCTGGAAGTGGAAACCGTCGGAGTCTTTTGTTCTTCTTGCCAAATTCTCAAAGGAAGGATTTAACGTCACTGGAGAAATCTTCTTTTCAGAGCGCAGAATCAAGTGTTCAAATTGAAAACAGTGATGTTTCCGAAGAGGTAATTAATCTTGCTAATTTTAGATTTTCATGAACTTGCTTTGAAGAAGTTCATGAACTGATGGACCATAAATGCAAGCAGAATATTTTGAACTTGTTTGGGGGTGGAGGGGGTGGAATGGTCAAGAGATAGGGCTTGGGGACGTTGGGTGGGTGGGGAGGAGACAATGAACTTGGAAGTTACTTATGAAATTTGTTTTCCCTACTTTCATTAGGGAAATCATTTCCTCATTTTTAAGAGCTTGTTTTCCTTGAGAAAATATTCTCCAATATTTTATCAACCAAACATGAGAAAATTAAAAAAAAAATTCAGAAAAAAATTCTCCAAAGGTTTTCCTACATACCTAACACACCCGTAGTCTCTTTTTTATGGTTTTGATTGATCCTCACCTCGAGAGCTGAATTTATGGAGTTGAGTAAGACCTACGGTCTATTTTCATAGCAAAGTTCAATCCAAATTTCCAGTCCTTGGGCGTATGGAGCATGGGAGAGTGGGGAAGAGGGTGTTGGAGTCCAACATCAGTTGAGGGAATGAGTTTTTATCTCCTTATATGGTGTTGGACAATCCTTGCCTTATGAGCTAGCTTTTGGAGTTGAGTTAGACCCAAAATCTAGCTTCTTTCACGGTATCATAGCCAAACCTGTCCTAATTCTTTGCTTATAATATTGCACTCCATATTATATTATCCACGCTCCAAATGTCTAGGCCTAGGCGTGCATGGGTGTTAAAGTGTCTCATATTGGTTATGGGAATCAGTTGTTACCCCCATACATGGTCATTGATAGTCCTCATTTCATGAGCTACCTTTTGGGATTTAGTTAGACCCAATGTCAATTTTTTTTCAAAACTCTCATTAAGTATATTGTAGTGTCTGTTATGGTTATTTGGATGCTTTCCATGTTCTAGTTGCAGTCACTTGAATCGTCCTGCAGTATGCCTATAGTTGAGTCATCTCATTGTAGTCTTTTGGCTTTCTTTTACAGAGAGAGAAGGTTGAACAGTTGCTAGAAAAGCCACATTTGAATTATTCTGCCATTTGCCACAACCTCAAAAAGATGTATCCAGGAAAGGACGGGAACCCCGATAAACTTGCAGTTAAAGGAGTAACTCTCGCCTTACCGCGCGGGGAATGCTTTGGCATGCTTGGTCCAAATGGTGCAGGAAAAACTACTTTTATTAGCATGGTTAGTGAAAGTTGTCTAAAGTAACTGGGAATGAATTTTAGTTACCACATAGACCATGTTTTCTTGGGTTTAATCAAGATCTGCTTGAATTATGTACATTGCACTTTTCCCTAGCATTTTCTAAGTGTTGGAACTTATTAAGCTATGGTACTAAATGACAGATGACTGGGCTCTTGAAGCCAAGCTCTGGGAGTGCGTATGTTGAGGGTCTAAATTTGCAGACTCAAATGAACGAAATATATGGTAGCATGGGTGTGTGTCCACAACATGAGTAAGTTTATTTGTTTTCATCATGCCTATGAACACTTGCGGCGTCATTTTTGTTCTTCGTTTTGCATTCCAAAGTGTTGACTATTAAACTTTCTCTGTTTATCCAATCCTTGTTAGCTTGCTCTGGGATACCCTAACAGGAAGGGAACACTTACTCTTTTATGGAAGACTGAAAAATCTCAAGGGTGCTGCTTTAAGCGAAGTACGTATATATAACCATCAACTTCATTTCAACATCTACTTAAATGAAGCCAAAATTAGAGAATGGATATGATGGTTTTCTTATATATATTTGCTTAGAGATGTTATATTTTGAAAGAAGATTAGCCCAGTCTCTTGCTGTTGCATTGTGAATAAAATGTTCCTAACTAGTCAATGCTGCTGTGAAAGAATTTGTACATCTGATCATTAGCAGAATCCAATAAATTGGAAATGAGTCACCTTTGTATCCTTACAACGTCGCATTCCATGAAGATAATTTGTCATTGTGGTCTTTAATTTCCTTTGGGATTCTGTTAACAACAAGTATCTTTTACAAGCTCTGGAGCAAATCGCTAAGATTGACATACACTTCTATTTTATTCTGAGAAAGCCCTTTATCATGACGGAGAATTGTTTGATGCATTTATTTTCTCTCTTTGATCCTATCCTATTGCAACAGGCGGTGGAGAACTCTCTAAAAAGCTTCAATCTTTTCCAAGGAGGAGTTGCTGACAGATTAGCAAAAAAATATAGTGGAGGTATGAGGAGAAGACTCAGTGTAGCCATTTCATTGATTGGGGACCCGAAAGTACGTACTCCTCTTATATTATGACTTGAAATTGTGCTAAAGTTCTGGGTTCCAATGAGCTAATACTAACAGAACTCAAAAATTTTAAGGTTGTCTATATGGATGAGCCAAGCACTGGACTTGATCCTGCTTCACGGAAAATGTTGTGGGATGTCGTGAAGCATGCAAAGAAAGATAGAGCAATCATTCTCACTAGTAATCTGCTCTACACTTAGTTTTTATATACATGCATTTCTGTTTTGGGTTATATTTTTGTAGATATCTTGAAGTTTATCCTACAATTACCATGCAATCTCAAACATAGGCTTTATGTTTGCGTCTTCTCTCATTCGGGATAACATCAATGATGTTGTTCTTTCTCTTCCTCTCAGCACACTCGATGGACGAGGCAGAATATCTTTGCGATAGGATAGGTATCTTTGTGGACGGAAACTTTCAGTGCTTGGGAACCTCAGATGAGGTAACTTCTATGACCTTACCAACTAATTTACAACTAAAATTTCGGAACTTGATTAACACATTGAAGCATGCATCCGTTACTGTGAATTGCTGAGAAAGTTAATATTCTAGATTTGATTTCCTACTCAATTAGCTAGGATAACATCTCGAAGGAGTGACCGTGCTTAAGGTTGGGAGAGTGGCAATGGGAGCTTGGATTTTTAAATTTCTTGTTTATTGGTGAACCATTAAACCATTATCTAAACCAGTATATGGTTACTAAATCAATCTCATTAAAGATTCTTATCTTGTGTGATCAAATTCTGTTGATTCTCGTCCTAGTGTGATGCCACTTCTTCGGTCCATATGATTATCCTACCCATACCTCATTCTGCAATCATGGTATCTAATCTTGCTAAAACCAAACTGTATAATTAGCAGAAAGCCAGAAACTCTGTATATGGAGAGTTTTATTTACTGGTAAAGCTATAGTGTGTATGCTGGAACATATTTCTGATCATATGTTAACTGTAAATGACAGTTAAAAGCTAGGTATGGGGGATGCTACATATTCACCATGACTACATCACCAGAAAATGGGTGTAAAGTGGAAGACTTGGTGAAACGCCTATCTCCAAATGCGAAGAAAACATACCATTTATATGGCACTCAGAAATTTGAGCTTCCAAAAGATGAGGTGAAACTTTCAGATGTGTTCCTAACGGTTAGACAAGCAAAGGAGAGATTTCCAGTTCAGTCTTGGGGTTTGGCTGACACAACGCTGGAGGACGTCTTCATCAAGGTGGCAACTGAGCACAGTGAATCACTTCACTAATAATCTTTTAGTGTATGCTGTTATACAGACTACAGTAGCTGGGTTTCATCTGGTTGTAGAATCCTTCATTCTCTTGCTTGTAAGATGTCATTTTATAGACAAGAAGGATTGTTGATTTATCTCAGTGAATTGCTCCACACACTGTTCAATTATGTCTCTATGGGTATATCACTTCCCAAGGTTTGCTTTGTTAGCTTCTGTGACATCTGGTAATTTTGATTCTAACACTTTCTAACCTACCATAATTCCTTTCTCCGGGCTTAGAATTGGTTACAATCTAACATATATAGATGAGTTTAGCAAAGTCAATTAGACTTTACCAAAAAGGCATATTCATACACTGAGCCACAGAAAGCAATTCAGACTCGTAACGAGTTTTCAAGGTGCTATATTGTAGAGAGAGAATCTAAAGTACTAATAAAAAGTGAATATCATAAGGATATTGCATAATATACTGATTCCTAGGACAAAAATGAAGTAATAAAGGAGAAATACTTGTGACATAAGACAATCGCAACATTTACATGTTAATTACACATGGTACTCTATACACAAAAAATGATATCAATATGCAAAACTTTTAAACCCGATCAAAAGGACTAAAAGCTCCTATTGAAAATGTTTCATCAAATTAACTAATACCTAGAATTTCACCTTTTGAAGCACCAGTGGCTTATGGTAAACTCAGACTGATAGTATAAGACTACTATTCACCTTACGATCTCTTACTGTATCTGAGTTTACATACCTCAGTCCCTATATTTCCTAATAATATTGTCTATGACAAGTGCATTTTGAGTTGTGAAGGGTCAATTACAATTCCTTTGTTTGTAGGTGAGTTGTTGTTGGTTGGAGGATCTCTTAGTTGAATATGAGGTGGTATTGGCATTTCTTCTGAGAGGCCATATATGCAAGGACTACCTGTTTCATCTGGCTCCCAATATACTTCCACCATAATACCTCCGGGATTCTGTGGAGATTTTGTTCCTGGAATTCCAATGAATTGTGCTCCCACAGGTACCTATTGACATATATATTTATGTATTAATAGAAATTTTCGACTGAAGTTAATCTTGTACTAGACTAGTACTTATTATATAAACAAAGATTCTGTTGATTGACTTACTTCAACAGAGTTCCCTGAGTTCAATGTAAGAGTTTTAAATCTTCCTTCAGCTATTGCAGTTTCCACATCTGCCTGTTTAGCTATGTTCATGAAAACTTCTTCAAGAGTTGTAAGACCTAGCTGGATGTCTTTTACACCAAACTCACTTTGTCTAGCTTGAAGCTCAGCAAAGAATTCCTGATAGATGTAAAAGCCAATATTGGAATGTGAGAAGCTAAACATCGTGAAGTGTATATAAGTTAAATCCTTGAGTTATTGTAGATATTACCGTCAACATCTTTTCCCTTTCATGAGGAATAACATAGGTAAGGAAGCACTTATTTTCATCTTTAGGCACCACATCCAAGTGCTGTCAACAGAGCTATATGTTAGCTTTAAACAGTACTTAATAAATAGAGCGAAGGTTGAAAAGAAAACAAAAAGAAAGAGGAAGTAGCTATTGACATACACTTTTAAAGAAGTGTTTCACAGCTTCAGGAGATGTTGATTTACTAACTAAGCCCACATTAGCAATGAAACCAGTACCAAATTTTGCTTTCAACCTTATGGAAGTTCCAATGCAACGAAGCCTTCCCTTTGCCATGATACCAATACGGTCACTTAAGACATCAGCTTCTTCCATTGAATGGGTTGTCAAGATAATGGCACGTCCTTTTTTGGCTTTCTCGATAATGTCCCAAACGTGCCTTCGAGTTATTGGATCCATACCAGTAGTCTATGAAGATATCAGGGAAAGAAACTGTTAAAACAGAAGCAAAAAGCTGATAAAAACATCATATGGAAAGAAATTTTTAACTACCAGTACCTACCGGTTCATCCAAAATAACCAACTTTGGATCTCCAATAAGGGCTATAGCAACACTAAGACGTCGTTTCATTCCTCCACTGTAACTACAAGATCTCATCTTGGCTGACACCTTAGTGATTTTTGACTGGGATAATAGTTGAGCTACCACCTGTTTTCGTTTGAAGAATTCATTTGGTAAGATTTAAAACAGCTAACTTGTGGAATCGTTAGAAAGGTACAGAAGGATCGATATAGTTTAGGCTTATTTGCAATACCGTGTCTACTGAAGCAGGGGGTAGACCTTTAATGTTGGCAAAAATCTGAAGGTTCTCTTGTCCGGATAATGCATCCCAAAGAATATCAAACTATAAAATGAAAAAAATGAATCAATTTCTACAATATAAAAGGTAGTATGCTATCCATTGAAGGCTTGAAAACAGAAAATAACAAGAAGAAGAAATGAAAAGAATAGATATGTTACCTGGGGGCAAACTCCCATCATCCTTCGAATGTTTGTCATGCCCATAGAGCTTCGTATGGACTGATTATATACCAATGCTGTTGAAAATTGCTTCATGTTACACATATGCAACTTTAATGAACGTAAAATATGACAAAAGTTGGGATCAAAGCTATTACCATCTCCTGCTGTAACAGGATTAATCCCAGTCAAACAACTTATAGTAGTAGTTTTTCCAGCTCCATTGGGCCCAAGCATACAAAGTAGCTGATCCTTTTCGACGTTCAACCATAAGCCCTATGGTCATGATTTAAGAAATGTGAGGCCATTATTCTCAGCTGGCTAGTGCTGAAATACTAGTCAAAGAAAAGGACTCTAAACAGCAAGATGTAGATGCAAATTGGTTGAAAGTTTGGATGGCTAAACAAAGAGTAAACAAGTTCCAGTTTTAACACTTTTTGCAAAAATTCAGAGGTGGAACCAGAATTTGAAGTTTAGGAGTTTCTGCAACAGCCTCAAGTAAATATTACAAACAAATAACTGGGTTCACGTTAATATTTATAGATATTTTGTAGATTTCTTAATATATGTACAAGGGCGGGATAAAAATTATTGGGTTCGTGATGTACTAAATTGCATCATCAACATAGCTGCTACTACTACTACTATTATCTTCATATGGACCATAGATAAAGTACCTTGACACTATGGAAAGGAGGACTTTTTTTTCTACAGCAGCAGCAGCAGCCACCTGTTTTCTTTCCAGGATATGTCTTAATAAGACCGCGTATTTGAACTGCATTATTGGAATTGTCACCTTCCATAGATTGCTTTTTAACAGTGTTTTCTTCTGTAAGAACATCTTCGTCATCTGGTGTAATAGGATCCAGCCGTGGCAATGAGCCTGAACAGATGCTACAGTTTCCTCCCTCTTACATTAGAAGGAACAGAATAATTAGATTTTTACAGCTTACAGAAAGAATAGATAGTACAGTAAAGTGGGAGTGTAGGTAGTGTTTACCTTTCACACTACTTCCACCGTTTCCAGTCCAGTAGCCAGGATATAGGAAGTACAATTTTGATTTTCTCACACCAGATATATTTGGAATTATGTTGTCGAAGTATATAGCCAAGACGAGCCAGAAAAAAAATGTTTTCACAAGTAGTATATACACATCATGCTGTTAACATAAGGGGAAATATATTAGTTGCAAGAAGAAAACAGATGAGGCAAAGACCATAGGTGGCAATAGATGTACCATGGTAGTTACACAGTCTGGTTCTTTAGGTAAACACTTTGCCCTAGTACTCCAGCTAATACCTGGATCTTTAGGACTTTCAGTTGCTTTAGTAAGTAACTGAAGACCTATAGTAAGAAGATTTGGTGGGAACAATGACCAATAAACCCTATGGCCATTGGAATATGCTGCGGAGTAGGGATAATTAGCCAGCTGTGAACCAATCTAAAAAATGGAACATGACGAATATGTTATTCCACAGATGATCAGTAATAAACAATAAAACTACGTCTCAAGTTAAGGACGGACTTACCATAGTAATAAAACCAACAATAAAGATGACAAAAGCCACATTTGTCGCTGAAGCTGCTTTGGTAAGGAAAGTAGACAGCCAATATCCAAAGGCAACCTTGCAAAAGGAACATAAACATTTATCAAACAAGTTTAGCATTACCAAAACTCTGTATTTGGTAAAACTTCAAAGGTTTAGAGGGATAATTGAGGTGTACCATAGTAAGTTGGAAGAGGAAAAACAGAAGGAACACAACCAATACGTTATTGCGCAAGAAAAAATCAAATTGAAACATCATTCCAAAGATCACAGTAAGCGTAGAAGAGAAAAATATGAGGAGTCCTTCCCAAGTGATCCATGACAACCAATAGGCTGTATCAAAAAGGCCCATCATAGTCATTGCCTGCAAAGGCGCCAAATATGGCATTTAGAAAATGAAACAATTTGCCAAAGTTATCTGTCATGATTTTCTACTATATGCCTTACAAAAAATAAAATAATTTCAAGTGTTCAATCTTAAAGGTTACATTCTGGATCCTTATCAAAATGGCGATTACCTGTCGAAGCTTGAGTTCCTTTTCAGTGATCAAAGAACTGACTTGGAAGACAAAACCAAATATAGCAACTGCCATGAAAAAGACCATTGCTGATAAAGTCACTTCATTGAATATTTCACCAGGAGGATGCGGAAATTCTTTAAAACTGACATCCCAGGGGAATTTTGGATCTGAAAATGTATATAAAAACTTAGTAAATAAAACACAGAACAAAGGTGTGATGTGCTTAAGAAAAAGTATATGTACCTCCAATCAGATTTCTTGCGATTTCACGTTCTGCTGCTATTTGAAGTGGGATTTGGAACTTAAAAGTTGGATCTTCAGTTACTCCTCGTTTCACTACATCCGTGGAGTTTGTCTGAATACCATAACTAATTTTATTCCCCTTCACTATTGTAAAGTGCACAGCTGCAGGACAACGCACAGGATTATCAAAAAGCCATTTATCCACATCCTTTGCTGTGTTAAATGCTAGAACCTGGCACAACAAATGCGCAAATTTTAACTGTCAATCCATCAAATCAAAAGAATCATGGTACAATAGATCAAAAACAATATACTACTAAAAACACAATACAAACATATGCGCATAATTGATCCAGCATACCTTGTTGGCAGGAATTGGCCTACCAGGATTATTTGCCATAATTCCCTTAACAACATCCCCTATAGTTTTACTATGTTTTCCACTCCAAATGAAATCATAGCATGGAGTCTTAATATAAAACTTGTCCTCGCAAGGTGGGATAGGTGGCGCCATAAGAGGTTTAGGGTCGCGCAATTCTTTAGCATAGCTGTTATCTGCATTGCGCGATTCATCAGATAATTTAATGCAGAATAGAAGCAAAATGAAGAAGAAAGACGAGAAGAGCTGTAGGAATGTTGCGGGTTTGTTACGCAATGCAAGCAACACATTTTTCTTAAATAATGCTTTGTATTGCTGCATTAGCAGAGGGATTCCCCCCTGCAATTCCATTGCTCTTCTCTCTTCTTCTTCTTCTTTATCTTCAAATTCAAATTTTCCCTTTTTTTTTTTACTTATTTCTTAAACTTGCAACGTCTCATTAATTAAATATAAATAAAACTACTGATCTCAACTAGTGACAAACCGATTTATGTGCAAACAAATAAGCTACCTTTTTTTTTAACTCTAAAAATAATTTTGTGGTTAATTAATTAACTTGTTAGTCAATTTTAAGACATTAATTTACCACCAGGTTTAAAGGCGAAAGAAAGGGCAGTTCACTGTTACCCTGAAACAACTCTTATTTAAGAGATATTTACTTTTCATTAACGAACTCATTTGAAGTAACTTAAAAAAAAAAAAAAAAAAAAAAAAAAAAAAAAAGAGGATTGTTTTTCTAATTTAGTTACTGGGGCTGAAACAGAGGTCCTTCAATGGCAGACTCTGTGACAGCTCCAGCGACTTACGGGACTCAAGCCGATGCTTTGCTAAGGAAGAATTTGACATTTCAGGTACGGCTTTTTCTCGAATTTAGGATTTCTAAAATATGAGTGTGAGTTAACAATAAATTAAGTGGGAGTATGTCAAAAAAAAATTGGATGGATATATAGTACGTATTGAATTTTTCTCGATGAAAGTTTTGTCTCTGCCACGGATCCAAAATGGCTTTGTATGTGCAAGTTTTTCTCTCTGTGATACAAATATTAAGCGTGAAATGTTTCTTAATTGGGGATGGAAAGCTGTGCGTTTGCATGGTAAAACTACATAAATCTGCAAAAATTTCAATTCGCCTCACCCCACATGATATTAAATCATTTTAAAAGGAGATATTTTCGAAGTATAATTAAGTTAATATTAACTTTTTTATTATCATCTCCTAATTGCTGCTGACAAAAGGATAGATATTTAAAGAGGTAGACATAATATTTTAAACCATATAGAAAACCAATGTCACTAATGTAATCTTGGAGGGAGTTTTCTAAATTTGTTTTGGTTAAACCGGCAACCTGCTCTGACCCCACATTTCAACCCGCCCCGTCCTTCCCCGCAACCATCCCGGTGACTGGTGAGTGTGACTCGAAATTTAAGAAATGTTTTTGATCTAATCCGCAGGAATCAATAGAAAAAGGAAAAATCCGTTACATGTTTTTGCCTTTCTTTATTATTTGAGAGGAGAAACTCAGGATTAAAGAATCTGATGATCCAGCTTTGATAATAGGTGAAGTAACTCAGGATCATTATACAAAACAATGCATGTTATATTCTCAGCGAGTGTGCACAAGTAGGCACTTAAACTTGTATAAAATTGAACAAGTAAATACACTTGTCCTACATGGCATAATACACATAGAATGCCACGTAGGACACAAAATTGTTATGTAAGGTGCCATATAAGACGAATGTGTCTATTTGTTCAATTTTATACAAGTATAAATGTTTACTTGCGCACATTTAAAGTTAAAGGTCATAGTTAACAGCTGATACCAAGTTAAGGATCATGTTTATGTATTATGCATTTCTTTTATGTGTTGAATAGGCTTTGTACATGATCCAGAATTCCAGATTGTGATAATTTACATGTAGTATCATTTTTTTGCTTCTAAACTGAAGTGGTTTGTTGTCAATTTTTTTGATGCAGAAACGAAATGTCAAGACAAATGTTCGCCTCATCTTAGTCCCTATTTTACTTGTTCTTTTAATAAGGTCCATTGAATTCTCGAGTACTGCGATGACGTACAAAGACACTAAATGTGGCTGCCAATGTGTCGACAAAAATGGTACAGGAAAATGTGAAGAAGTATGTGGTCTGGAATACTCAAATCCGTTACAAGCACCAAGTTGTGAAGTTAAAGAACCATATGAATGGCATCCCGTTTTCCAGTTACCGGAATCTCAATTTAGTGCTGTAAAAACTGATGTTATTACATATCCAGACTTGCCTAATGAGTCATGCAGAGACTCTAATTCTTGTCCAGCTATTATACTTGTCACTGGAACTAATCAAACTTTTGGACAAAGTATGTTTTTTTCTGAATAAAACTAAGACTAGTTTTTTTTTACCTACAAAAAAAAAAAACCAAGGTTTCTAATGAATTTTTTCGATTGATATGGAACTTCATAGGTGTGAATGGGTACATGGTCAAAAATGACTCAACCGTAGAGTCTACTTTCATCACCAACCAGATCATTGTGAGTCCGTTTCCATTTTCATATTTTTTTTCCCTTGGATTAACTGCTCTATATCATGGACCCTGTGAACTAGCTATGAAATCTTTCAGGGTACAGAGATTCCAGCTGATCGAACGGGTTTTCAAGACCCTGCTTTCAACTCACGAAAGGCAACATTCTATATTATTCAAGCTGGGTGTCCTGCGGATTACAAGGGTGAAGAGATCAATGATGATCACGCAACATATAGTACGATTTATGCTTGCTATTTCTAACTGGACTAATATCTTGATCTTGTTGATGTTACATTTAGCATATTCATAGCTCTGACCTTAATTTCCTACTGCAGTGTTACAATGTCGTGAAGGTTTATCCTTGTGGCGTAATAGTCCCTCTGAGATCAATGATGAGCTGTTTAAAGGTTACATAAAGGGGAATACGGAGAAAAAGACAGGCGAGATAGCAGCAGGTTGTCTAATGCTATTTTAGTACTCCGTGATTCATGTAATTAATATCAATCTCTTTTCTTAACAAAGTTGTATGATCTTCTTCTTTTTGCAGCATATGATTGGTTAAATACAAATGAAAATAGGTTCAATGTGAGTGTTTGGTATAATGGAACCTATAAGTATGAAGGTCAAAGTGAACAATTGGTACGGGTGCCTCCTTTGGTGAACCTGGTAAATCATTTACTCTTCTCCGATATGTTATTCCTCTCCTTATCAACAATTGTCAAAATGTTATCAATGATGATCAGATTAATCATTAATGTCGCAGAGAATCTTATAAAGTTTATCTAATTCATTCAAGGCTTAATGAAATTAAGTGTTTGTACAGGCATCAAATGCCTTCCTTCAAAATTTGCTTGGACCTTCCTTCAATATTCTGTTTGATTATACCAAAGAAATGCCCAAGCACGGAAGTATGAGGATGTCGGAGATTTCTTCTCAGATGGGACCAATTTTATTTTCATGGGTGATTTTACAGCTTTTCCCAGTAAGTAAATAAGTTGGATTGTTTTTTCCTTCTTATAAGTTTCCCTTTGTCATTCGTATAATAATTGCATGATGGAATAAGTTTCATATATATGATTTGTTATATTGGCTATTGCTATCCTGCCTTTTCGTGTTCCTCATGTTCGTGCTCTGGTTAACTATTTGCAGGTTGCTTTTGTAGCTCTGGTTTATGAAAAGCAGCAGAATCTACGAATCATGATGAAAATGCACGGACTTAAGGACGGCCCCTATTGGACTATTACTTATGCTTATTTTCTTCTCATATCATCTCTCTACATGTTTGGCTTTGTGGCGTTTGGCTCGCTCTTAGGTAGTGACACAGCTTTTAAATTGATTCCTTCACTAAACTCGTATTTAGTGGCTCGATAATTTATCTTTTTTCTTCTTCTCCTCCATTTGCAGAATTAAGTATCTTTCTTCGTAATGCTTTCAGCATCCAGTTTGTGTTCTACTTCATCTACATAAACTTGCAAATCGCATGTGCATTTCTGCTGGCTGGATTTTTCAAAGATGTTACGACAGCCACAGGTGTGATATCTTAACTATTGTAAGAATTAGGATTCTTATGTTAAAAGTATATATATATCAATCATGAGAAGGATGAATTGTTTTAATTTCAGTCAATAACATGTGATATTTAACTAATTCATGCATCTACTTTTGTTGTATCAGTCATGGGGTACTTGGTGGTGTTTGCAAGTGGTCTCTTAGGATCATTCTTTTTCTCAAACTTTCTATCTGGTGCTTCAATATCAGGTAAGTTGATGATCTAGCTGTAATTCCTTTTGCGTTTTGCTTCATGTTTCTGCATACTGCACTGACATTGCATCGTTGTGAATGATATTGTAGAAGTGTGGATTATATTGATGGAGCTATATCCTGGATTTGCTCTTTATCGTGGATTATTTGAGTTTGGGGAATATAGCAAGAGTGGTCTTTATACGGGTGAAAGTGGTGGCATGAAATGGGCAAATTTGAGCGATCCTGGTAATGGGATGAAACAGGTTATGATTATAATGTTAGTGGAGTGGATAGTAGTTCTCCTTGTTGCTTTTTACTTGGACCAGATCAATTCATCAGGGAAAAGTCCCCTATTTTTCTTGGAGAACTCGCGGAAGAAGCAGACGCTATCCACTATGAACTTATTAGAAAAGAAGGATTCTGGAGTTTGTCTTGAAATGGAGAAAGAAGATGTTGCACAAGAGGTACACTTGATACTTTTGCCATTCATAAAACATGTTTCACCTCTCTCTTTAACATCAACATATACGTAGTCAAAATAACGTTTTGCATATGAAAATTGTGGACATCAGAACAAACCTGATAGATTTATAGCTCATGCAAATATAAGTAGTCTTTTTGTTGTTTCAATTCAACATTTCCTCCCATTATTGAACAGAGGGAAAAGGTTGAACATATGGTAGCTGGATCGACATCAGGTTATCCCATCGTTGTTGACAACCTGAAAAAGGTTTATCCAGGGATAGATGGAAACCCCGATAAATATGCAGTTAGAGGACTGTCACTTGCTGTGCCTGAAGGAGAATGCCTTGGTATGCTTGGCCCCAATGGTGCTGGCAAAACATCATTTATTAGTATGGTAAGTTCCGCGATATCATTTAAGACATTAGTTTTTTGTTTACTTAGTTACATGGAGTAACAAAGTGTTGCTAACAGATGATTGGGCTGACAAAGCCAAGCTCCGGTGCTGCATTTGTTGACGGACTGAATATAAATACAGAGATGGACAAAGTATACACCGTCATGGGTGTATGCCCTCAGCATGAGTATGAAAAAAACAAAGTCAAGTTGACATTTCATGATTCCTACTCAATGTTCTACAAATACTAATTAATGAAATTGTATACAGCTTGCTTTGGGATACATTAACAGGAAGGGAGCACCTACTTTTCTATGGAAGGCTTAAAAATCTTAAAGGACAAGTTTTACATCGAGTAAGTTATGGTCCCGTTCCTAAATTTGATTCCCCCTCTTGCTCGTCAATGGATCTTAATTACATCCGAAAGTTGTTACTACCTACAGGCAGTTGAAGACTCTCTTAAGAGTCTCAACTTGTTTAACGGAGGCGTTGCTGACAAGCAATCTGGGAGATATAGTGGTGGAATGAAGAGAAGGCTAAGTGTTGCTATTTCACTCATTGGAAATCCCAAGGTACGTTTCTTCCTAATATGTCGTTTTCATTTTCTCCTCCCAAATTACGAAAAATTGAACTATATATGCAAATTTACCAGGTTGTCTACCTGGATGAACCGAGTACTGGACTTGATCCAGCTTCAAGAGATACCTTGTGGACTGTTGTGAAGAATGCACGGAAAGGCAGATCGATAATTCTCAATAGTAAATCTACTTTCCATCTCTAGTTTCATTGTTTTTCCATTTCGACATGAAAGTAATTACTCATCTAAATGCATAATCTTGAAAGTAATTAATTCCACTAGTACTGTTTTTTTTCCTTTTTAAGGAAATGGTATGATTACTGATAATTACTTGGTGAAACTACAGAGAGTATGTTGTTCTTGTTGTATTTGTGGTTTGATTACTAATAAAGATACTAATTTCAGCCCATTCAATGGAAGAAGCGGATTATTTATGTGATCGCTTAGGAATCTTCGTTGATGGAAGCTTGCAATGCATAGCAAATTCATCAGAGGTAATTTCAAGCTTTTACACAAACAATGATAATTCCAATTTTGAACTCAGGGATTGTTATGAGTTGCAACAATTGAAACTATGTAACAATGTTGGACTTAACTAGTTTCTTATGACTAGTACAAGTGATGAATGGGTTATTTTCCGCTCATAATTCTCAAACTGTATTATCCACAGTTGAAGGCAAGATATGGAGGGTCTTACGTGCTCGCGATAACTACATCAGCTGATAATGAGGTGGAAGTGGAGAACATGGTGCGACAGATATGCCCAAATGCCAACAAAGTGTATCATTTATCGGGTACACAGAAGTTCGAGTTGCCAAAGCATGAATCGAAAATTGCAGATGTATTTCAACTAGTTGAGAATGCAAAGAGTAGATTTCCAATTTATGCTTGGGGTATGGCTGATACAACTTTAGAGGATGTTTTTATCAAGGTTGCTTCTAGTGCTCAATCCTTTAATGAAGCATGATCATAGCATTCAACCACAAATTAGAAAAAAAGAAAAAGAAGGATCATATGTGCATGATGTTTTTTTTTTTTTGCCTTAATTAGGAAATATTTAGGTTCATGTAGATACATCAAGTACAGAGCATATGTGACTCTTATTTTGTCATGTAATATGTGTACAATGATGCCAATCTCTGGCGTTTTGTTCGTGGAATAGAAAGAGTTTGTTGTATCAACAAAGTATTATTCAACGTATTTAATTGAAACCTCCAATGTCGTTGAGTGATTTAGTTTACAAAATAGCTTCAAATGAGGCAGTTTGGGCAGATATAGTAGGAATTACTTATCCAAGGGAAATTTCGACTCATAATAGTAATTTGATAGCAACCAATGCTACATTAATATATACAGGGAATAATACTATCCCCTTATTTTGTAATGATACCTAAGCTTACTTGCTACTAATATTATCCAGTTAACCAAAAAAAAAGTTTACCAAGTAAAAAATTCAGTACAGAACTCTTTGAGCTACAAACCTCATTTTACCCCCAATCAAACAAAATCAACTATCTCCTATATATGCATAGCAAGGCAAATCAAGGGTAAAAATTCATATATAGCAGATAACTGTTTCTCTATTTTATTCTTCATGGAGCCAAAATTCTGCAATGTCTACTAAATTTTAGTATATTTTAAAAGAAGTTTCATGAGCATGGTCAGAGATGGTTAACATTGTCTCTTTCAGCGGGAGCATTTTCAGCTTATTGAGGACGTGATCTTAGATAGAATGCGTTCGCTATTTACTCTCTTTTTATTACATGATTGGTAAGCTGGGACTAGTGATTAAATATGACATGATGCATTTTCAGCTTATTGAGGCGTGATCTTACATAGAAGGTTGTGAAGGACACAAATTAGGATAGAAAATTAATAGATAGTAGAGCACTGTATTACTTTTCTTTCTATACTATCTACTAGTCGTAGTATTTCTCATGAAGTTTCTTTGGCTTCAATTTCTACAAGTGTCTCTTGTACTTCTATTATCGCATTATTTGCTATAGTTACTGTTCCTTTTTTTTCAGAATGTTGCCATGTTTTCTATAATATTTTGCCATGATTTAATTTTCACTTCCGTTATTTTTTTTTTTCCGATCTACTTTTATGTGTTTTTCCTTGAGTCGAAAATCTATCAAAAATAACTTGTGTTGGTGCATTTTTCTCATTACTATTCCAATATTGAGACGACAAATTCTGCTAAACGAGTGCAAAATATATTGTCTAAAGATGGAATTGAAATAGCCATTGTGGATAGAGCCCAAAAGGCTTTTAAATTAAAGGTACGTTCAACTCATAAACATCATCGACAACTCTCTTTTCTAGCAGTCAATAATTAAATGGAAAGTCTAAATTAAGGGGGAAAAAAACCAAAATGGTAACTGCTGAATAAAGTAGGAAAGAAATTAAAACAAAAAAAAAAGTACAAAGATTATTGCATAAGTAGGCTTCTAATTAGAGCTGCTTGAGTAGTGTCTGATGATTCCAATAATTCTGATAATCTGTCACTCAGATCATCAACTTCTCTATGCAAACTTTTTATGTAATTGCATGTATCTTGCAACACCCTACTTGCTGAAACCTGCTCCAAATGAAACACAAATAAATTATTAGGTGTAATTCAGATAATCGGACCATTTCTCGATTTGTACGTGTCATCCTTGACCAATAGTCATCATGCTAATATATTAAATGAGATCTTCACAGAAATAGCTGGACAGATTTACTGTTTACTTTTTCTAGCTGGTGTTTCAGGCTGGAATAATGTGTTTAGTTTCAAGCAAATAAAAATATTACTCATATCAGACAATTAACTTTAGGAAGTTCACAAATCAAGGGACAAATTAAAAAGAATCCAATGTTAGAATCTCTGTTAATTTATTAGTACTTGGGTTCCAATTTTTCAAATACCAAGAACTTAACTAAGACCAATAAAATCTAAGGATGCATTAGATGTTCACTGAATTTTACTAATTTTAAGAGGAAATAATAAGAAATTAAGATTACTATGTTCAAATAGTATATTTTAATGTATTTTCACTTCTCTCTCTCTCTTCTTTTTTTTTGCTAGAATAATATTTACAGAAAGATGCTTCCACACATTTTAGGGTTCTTCCACAATGCATACCTTTACCTTAAAAAAAATGACAAAAAAAGTAGGTGGGAGGTGGGAGGTGGGAGGTGGGAGGTGGGAGGGGCATACATATAAGTTAGTATAATTTAGTATAAACATTCGATGCAGGTACATTTTTACCTACATTGTTAGGGGTTAAATAGAAAATAATATGATGGATACATTACATACACATTATAGAGTGTGGGAAGAACCCTAATATGTCTCTAAGGGTTTCAAGATTTTATATAAGGTGTTGTGTTGAGGTTCAGGATGACTACCACTAATTTTCTTTGAACTTTCTTAGTGAAAATTCTATGGTATGGGATTCAATTTGAGTAGACGCGTCCAGAGGCGGAGCAAGGTGGGGGTTTATGGGTTCAGACGAACCCACTAGCTTTTTCGTAGACCCTATATTTGTATTAGAAAATTAAATAAATATATGTATATTAACATGCGATCCCTCAAACAAAATTGATTTAGGACTCCCAAACTCCTAACTTTGGCTCCACCTCTAGACTTGGCGAGGAGAAATGAAATGAATTACCTTGTCAGAGGATCTATTCCTGAGCTCAGGAAGAAGTTGTTGCAATTTGTTAACAAGATCATTGATTTGGTCCTCACTTATCCTTGATCCTCCTGAATGTCTTGATGATCTTGACCTTCTGCTAGACATATTTCAAATACTTTTACTACTATATATTATGTTTAATAATTGTAGATGAACTAATTAGAGACAAAATTATATATAATGGACAAATCTAGCTAGAAGTGTAAGTGTTGCTATGGAGAGTGTGAAAGAGAGAGAAGAAAAGTAATATTAAGTGCACAAAAACACAAGTAGTGGTGAAGACAATTGCATGGAAGAAAGGAATGTGCTTAGCTTGTCTTTAAATAGGGTTTTGAGAGAGAGAAGAAACAAGTTAATTAATTAATTTGCCTTTCTATGCTATGATCCTTCTTATTGTTAAGTTTTATATTTATTTTTTGAGATTGAACTTAGAAATTTAGCAATTTCTATGCATGTGTTCTCTCTTAATGTGTGTGAGTGTGTCAGAGAATACACGTAATACCATGTTATTTTATTTACATCTACGTAGTACTATCTAGTATATTTTAGAAAGGGTCACATAAAAGTAAAATAATTATAAGGGAAAAAGGATAAATATACTCTTGAAATATCGTAAATGGTATGTAGATACTTTCCGTCATACTTTTGGTACATTGGTGCCCCTGCCATCCAAAAACTAGAGCATATATGCCCTTCACTCTAACGGAAGACTAAATAGGGACATGTGGCACAATCTTATCCGTCGATCCAATATTTAATAAATGTCGGTCGGTGGATAAGATTATGACACGTGTATGTATGTTAGTATAAATGGTATATATGCTTTATTTTTGGACGACAGGGGCACCAATGTTCCAAAAGTATGACATAGGGTATCTACATATCATTTACGATAGTTCGGGGGTATATTTGTCCTTTTTGCCTAATTATAAATATATACCCCTTTATATTCATACTCCACAAAATAATTACACTATATACCTTCCCAACTAATTTCGCTTAATTGATACTAAAGCAGTATCATATACTGTATTGGTATCATTAAGGTTGATAATTTTGCTTAATTGATACTAAATATATATATACTGTATTGGTATCATTAAGATTTCTTGTTCAGAAAGTACTCATTAGTCAGTGATACTTTAAAAGTACAATGTACTCTTACAGTATCATTGACTAATGAGTAATTTCTAAACAAGAAACTTTAATGATACCACAACAATATATATATATATATATATATATATATATATATATATATATATATATATATATATATATATATATATATATATACATACACTCTTATAGTATCATTGACTAATGAGTAATTTCTGAACAAGAAATCGTAATGATACCACAACAATATACATGCATATACTCTTATAGTATCAATGAATAATGAGTATTTTTTGAACAATAAACCTTAATGATATCAATACAGTATATATACACTGATTTAGTATCAGTTAAGCGAAAATTACCAATCTTAATGAATGGGGTTTGAGCTATAATTTGTTTTTTTTTTTTTTAGAGAATGAATATTTCTTAAATTACTTTGCATTAGAATATGAACATGTAATTATTTTGAGTTTTATGGCTTATTTATATAGTTTTTCTTTTTTAGAAATGCATATATAAAGTTAATTCATGATATCGTCACTAACTCTCTCTTCTCTAGAAGTGAAAAAACAACTTTATGGCATATGGTATTTCTTTTCCAAGAGAACACTTACACTGATATTTATAACAATCAAATTAATATAGGCATATATGTAACTCTACATGTGTTGCAAATCCCTTTCTATTTTTTTCCAAATTAATACTACGAATATGTGAGTGATTTATACACAATGAATATTCTCATATACCTATATATAATATAATAATATGTAGACGTATCGACTTAATTTCATGTATTGAATATTAAATGAAAAAAATATAAGACCAATATTCTGATTTGACACATAAAATGTTGTGTGAATCATCAAAGACCGTTTTGCAAGACGCAATAGTATTATTGGATGACCGACACCAAAATAATATCGTGAGGAGAGGATGAAATAACTACTGCATGCATATTTCACTTACGTTATAGCATAGAGCTTATTTGGATATACTTATAAGTTATAATTATAATTTATAAGTTAAAAATCTTAACTTATAGCTTTTGACTCATTTTTATTATTTTAGCTTTAAAATATATATTTTTTATCTTATTCAAATATTATAAAAATATCTAAAATTTACGTATAAATAAATCAATTCAAATAGACGATTTATCATAAGAACAGGCCAGGGTTGACTGGTCAAGATTCATATTACAGGCAAACATGTTTTTTTTTTTTTCCTTCAAATAGAAAGTACACATGAGGCGACACGTAGAAGGCAAAAATAAGCGTTACACATGACCGACCTTATTAACAGGATTTATTTTGTTTATCTTATTATGGTTGTTTTTACATGTTTTTTTTTTAATAATATTAGCATAGTGAGGTCACTCATGA